GGGAAAATAAAAAAGCAGTGTCATTTCAAAGGATGTAAAGTTGTATCATTTTAAGAGAGAGAAAAAGATAGATAAAGGAGGAGAGAGAGTTGACAAAAAAAATAAAAGTGTGGATCCCATCTCTTTATGAGAGTAAAATAATATAAGTTGTGTCATTTAAAAGAATAAACATTTTTTCCAATAAAAAAAGTACTGCGTGGAGTTAGTGGACCACAATTCATCTTACAAATCCAAAGAACTTAAAAGATTTTGTACGAAATGTCTATTATCCGTGGACTTAACATTTGTTTTCTGAGTAACTGTAAATGCAGATACAGATAGTAACGTGTTGAAATATATAAAATTATCAATATAAACTCATCTAACAGATTAAGTTTTTAAGTTGAATTGTTACTTTATACAGTATCAGAGCTTCAGTATACCGAGTTCGATCCTCATCATTACTTACCTCTTTTCTAGTGAAATTTCTTTCTTCCTCTTATGCTTTTAGGTTGAATTGCTCTTTTATACAATGGACCTGATTCAATTAAAGCACTGTTATCTTACAAAGCTCATTCATAGCATACATCTAACTCCTTTGGTCCTTCAATTCCCCTTAAGGGCCCTTGCTATACCATGCTTGACCCAATTAATTATGAAGAAGGGAAGTGTCAGAAGGAAGGTAATTTAGGTAATTCGTGCTGAATAAAGTTGTATTCTTTGGCCTTTTTCAATAATGGCTCAGCCTCAAGATATTCAGAGGATGGCATATGTGTATGACTCTCTTTTAATGGAATTACCAACTAATAACTCAGAAGATTCAATGGGAGGAGCCCCATTTGCACCAGGCCCTCAGCCATACCCTGACATTAGCATGAAACTAGTATCCAAGCGTATAGTTGTTAGTACAGTACCTTATAGTACTGTAAGGTGATTGATTGTAGTTTCTTCATCAATCAAGCATATCAATCAATGCCCTCAACGACTAACATTCTTAGAAAAATGACCATATGTTATAGAAATTTAATATAAAAATTATTAATGTATATATCAGTTACCAATTTAAGATATTAATTAAATTGGTTGCATTACAGAATATTAGAGTTTAATTTTCACTGCTCTTATTTTTTTAATAAATATTTAATTGTAAATTTTTTTACTATAAATAAGTAGGTTTGTGTCTCATTCACTATTTTAAGTCCAATTAATTGTTATGTAAGGGAATGTACTACAGAAATCTAATATAAAAATCAGTAATATAGAACTTGTTATTTATTTATTTACTTATTAAAAAGAGCTAAAGATGTACGGCACGGCTTATATTCCCACATATTCACAGGCAGATAAACAAATACAACTGATTATCCTCTCTCTTTTTTGGATAACTAAAACTGATTATCTTGTTTCCGTATAGCAAAACCTTGCATTTCCTTTAGGCCATGAAGATTTAAAAACAATTATAAAGTCAAAAGAAATAAATTTTCTAATCAAACCGTTTTCTTATTCTAAATTAGCACAAAAATGGTATTCAACTCTCTCACCAAGTAAAATGACCAGATCTTTTCACCCATACTAAAAATAAGGTCCAGATCTTGTCTCTTTCTCCTTAAGATATAGTGTGTGACACAGTCCATAAGATTTTATTCTTCTTCACCCTGAAAATAGATGCTATTTTATGCTTTAATATGCTTGTCCATCAACATAAAATGTGGCTTTGCACACATGTTCAGTTCGTTGTTATCCAGGACTCATTTGGCATTATGTATCTCAGTATCTGGTTCGCAATGTACTTGAAAATTATTGAGGAATAAATTACGTTGGGATAATGAGTATTACTAATCAATAGTTATGAATCTTTAAAGCAGCTTCAATGCTGCATGGTTTGATGGAAATGCATGGGATTAATAAGCATCTTTACGTAAGAGTTGTTAGTTTAGTAATGACCCAATTGGATTTCATGATTTAACTTGCTCAAAAGATAATAATTTCAATTCTTAAGAGTCCCAATTTGTGGAAAGGACGAAGAGATCAAAACCCAAAAAATAATTAATTGGATCTATTAGCACATCGGATAATGTTTGATATTTATGAAAAAAAAAAAACACATTCTTAAATAGAGTACAACTTGGGTCTCAATCATTCTTGTTAAAATTTCGATTTATCACTACGATTTTTCATCAAAACGATTTTACTAATATTTCAAACGCTTTTATGTTTTTACGATTTTATACTTTACGATTTTTTAATCCCCTTTTAATTTTACTTAAGATCTCGATTTTAACAAAATTAATCTCTATCAAGCGGGTTATGGACTGTCCCACCCGGTATTATCTCTTTAATGTCATTGCTCCTTTCCCATTTCCTTTGTCATTTTGTGATTACTGAACATGATTGACCACTAAATACTTAAGCTCAATCTTATCCCCAAATTTATTTTGAATGTCCTTACGGTAACCTTTTCACTAATTATTTGGTCCTAACTAAAACAAATAATCCTAAGCGAATGAAAATTGTATGAAAAGTGTACGCGTTTAAGTCGCATATCTTCCAATGCATGGTCTGCATACGAATCAACACAATATTAGACACGTATCCTGAAAATGCACATTCAAGTCACTTACTTGCATATATTTTTTGGATTTTACACAAATCAGGCATAGAAGTAATGTACCATTATAATCATGTGCACACACCCCATACATGTTTCAATTGCATTTAAAAAAAAAAATTATACCAAAAAAGTCCATATATGTGCTCTGCCACAGCTAGCGTTACGGCTTCGAAAAATATCAGAGAGATGCACAAAGGAAAAACCGAAAAACAAAGAAAGAAAGTGACATAAAGCAGCAGAAATTACAGGCTATTTAATGCCGGGGCGCAAGCAACCGGTGGGTGACTATGTGATGCCAGCGGTAAGCGGTAGGGGAGAAGTACTACACTTGCAATTCACCAAACTCACCTACCAAAAGAAGCAGTAAGATAATTCAGAGGAGCATGCTATAAATGAAAGGCTGAAAAGTTAAAATTAATAGAAAGAAAAGGCAGTTTCCATCTTGTAAGCGTTGTAAGAGATGAATCATGTGAACCAAAAAAGATACTTGTTTGTTAAAATGATATCAGCTTGACACTTGAAAAATTAGGATTGGATTCCTTTTCTTCCTCCCTCTGTTCATGCTATTGCATGAAATTGTTGGGAGGGTTTCCCAACCCAACGTCAACACGCCCACCTACATCAAACGCGTCAAGAAAAAAAATAATGATGTTTGATTAAAATTTTATATTATTCAATGTAAGGTTGACTAAAAGTTATAAGATGAGTTAAGAATTTAGATGGTTATATTTATAAATTTTTTATTTAAAAATTCTTATAAATTACACTATGTATTACTGAAAGTACACTAGGTTTATTACGTATTTCCAGGAATATATAGATTAATTTGCAAAAAATTGTAAAAAAGTTTGTAAACGGATCCTTCCCCATTAAATTTTGAGTTCATTTTTTCTACAGTCAATGTAAATAACTTAAATACATTTAGTCCAAGATGACGTCGTTTTGAGACGAAAATCAAAGTATTTTTATAATTATAATTTATTTCAGGGTTATAATAGTCTTTTTCATTATAATTTTTTAATTTTTCAACCCAAAATGACGTGGTTTGGGGAGCGAGTGTAAATAACTTACCTACATTCACTGTAGAAACATTAAAGCCTTAAATTTTATCATTAACTTATTTTAAACAATTTTTTTTAAACAAAAATAACTTTATTTCAATCTTACATTTAATTAAAATTAATTTTATAAAATAAAGACAATTTAAAATTAAATCTGTATCTTAACACACTTATATTTTATTATACATTCTCTATCACAAATAGGGTTTGTAAAGTTATAATTTGTAAATGTGATGCTGCATTTAATAAAAATTAAGGAGATCAGTATTTTCTTACATTATTTTTTTAACTTTTTATTATAAATGAAGTATTTTCCGTGGCACGTTTATTAGGGTCCATGGAGGCCACACCTTTGCCTCCGAAATGAAAAAGTCTTACAGTTAATAATTAAATTCCTGTAATATATGAACGCATACGAAAATTCTTTTTCAAACTTGTCATAGCCGATCTGAATAACACTATAATCAAGTGTGTTCGATTAAATTATATATTGATCCCGAACTATCCAGAAAACAATGTTTAAACCTAGTTTAATAAAAAATATAACAAGAGAGGGATCAACTTTATCAACACTTACTCTCTTGGTGTAGGTTAAATCCTAACATTTTTAACAATTGGTAAGTGTTTAGTTTCATTAAATCCTAACATTTTTTTTCCCCAAAAACCATCCACCAATCTTCATAAAAAGTTAAATACAATATTATATAACTTAAAAATATTTATGTGGTGTGTGAATTGATGTTAAAAGAATCCTTAGGGAAAGATAATTGGAGATATATTTATATTTCGAAAATTTTAATAATTTCTATAAGTTTATATTCTAGAATGAACTTACGCGTTACGCCCACAGCGCTCAAAGTAAGACTACACACGAGTTGGAAGTTGAACTTGGATTTGAAACATTGCGTTGCAAAGTGTTTTTCTTTTTTCTTTTCCGCCAAATAAAAATAGGTTGGTCACGAGGCTAGTCGTGGTGCTACAGCTCCACGAATCACGCAGCCATTTTGGGGAATTAACAATCACATGGAACTGTAATTACCATTTAGCAAAGCATGTCCCATAAAAGAAACGGTAATTATCAAAGTCCATTCGTCGTGTCTCTGTTTGGGAAGATATGTCACCTCACCTTCCATCATGGGAAGAGAAGTCAATATCAGAATCAACGGATGGAAACAAAGAAACGACAAACGAGAAACTCTACTATGTAATTATTAACACCTATTCACTCCGACAACAGGTAAATACAAACTCAGGAGTTTTTTTTATTTAAAAAAATAAATAAACCTGATCTTGGCTACAAGTTACAGCGTCAAAAAAATAAAAATAAATAATGACCGATACGTGGTGGCTTACGGCGGAACCTTGCAGGGACTAGGTGGCAGGCTAGCTTTTCCGGTTGCAACAAGACGCTGCACAAAGCTCTCGATTCTGTTACCGTTAGTTTCCTGAAGTAACCGTTTGCCGCCAAACGGTAACGACTCCAGCACTCTCTCACTCAGAACCTCCTTTTCTTCCGTTCCCTCTCCTCCTCCCAGACCGAATGCCTGCACAAAAACACACGCCGTAAATTCACTCCGTCACCCATAACCAAAATTAAAATTAGAAAAGTTAGTTACAACAACTTCTGTTACTACCCAAGAAATAGAGTTCTTTCGGAACGACGCAACTGAATTGAATTTCCTTTTCTCATTCCTCATTTATTTTTTTTAAAACGAAATCAAACAGTTTAAAAAGGAAAGAGGAATCGGCATTTGTGTGGTGTATACCTGAATCCTGACGTAATCCGTAAGGTTCCAACAGAATGCGTTTCCCAGCATCTGGTCAACGGTCTCGGAAACGCCGTCGAGGGCAATGTCAACCACCGACGACGTCAAGCACTCACGGACGTCACGCACTCTCTTCGCCTGTGCTCCGTTGCCGATGGACATGACCAGGAGATCCTCCACGCCGTTCACCGATGGGAAATCCCGCTTGTTGTGAAGGACGTGCGTGACGGCTGCCGCCGCCGGATTGTTCATCACCAGGCCTCCGTCCACGGCCGAGCACGAGGTTTTTCCGTCGACGGAGGCGAAGTGGAAGGGCTTGAAGAGGCTCGGCGTCGCTGACGTGGCGCGGCATACCTTCCACAGCTCGAAGTTGAAACTCGGTGACTCGGACGCGTCGGCTCGGGAAAACACGAATGGCGCTGAACTCTTGAGGTCAAAGCAAGGGATAAGCAAGGGTTTACACGTGTCCTTCAGGGTCAACAACCGTCTTTCTTCCTCTTTTCTTTGGAACACTTGCTTCAACACGTTTTCCATGCTCCTCGAGGAGAATCTCCGGTTCCGGCGGAAAAATCCGGCCGGCCTGAGCTTGTAGAGTTCGTGATTCCTCTCGACGATGAAGTTGACGGCATCTCTGGCTGTGTAGAGAGGCCTGCCGAAACCGTCATCGGCGGTGATCATGGCGGCGAGAAGGGCTCCAATGCCGGTGCCGGCGATGATGTCGAAGTAATCAGTGATTTGGGCGTGGGGGTCGGAGGTTTGGAAGCGGATCTGGTCCTCGAGGTGGATGAGGGCAGCGCCGGCGACAATTGCGGTGGTTCCACCGCCGTCAATGCTGAGTATGCGAGTTTTGACAGTGTCTTCGCAGTGGGAGAGCCATTGTTGCTCCAGTTTGGTGAAGATCTCTAACGTCACTTTGCTAAGCTCCATTGTCTTGCAATTCTGAGGGGTAAAAACACAGACAAGAAGCGAAACGAAATAAAGACTCTTCAGGATTTGTTGCGAATGCTGGTTCGGTACTCTCTTTCTCTCTCTCTGAGATTCTCTGTTCTGAGATGAGTTAGTGAGTGTTAAAAACCATAGGAGAACTGAAAGGTGGGTTTGGGAATGGGGTAGTTATATCCACGGTCCTTTTGTCCTTGTTTTGTTTGTTTATTTATTTATTAATTTATTTTTATTTTACTTCATATTTGTAATTAATTATTAAATAATAATATGACTCCCCGTGTGTTTTTCCACTGTACTCGCATGAGTCGAGTAGAGTGGAGGGGAGCGTGAGAGAGTGTTTGGTGTTAGGAGTACGTTTGCACGTGCAAGTGCGCGTGTTGTTACGGGGTGGCGGGTAGCGCGAACCTCGGCTTGTCAGTCGGCTCGGCTTTTTCTTAATACCGTCACTGTCACTGGTACTCTACCGGTAGTGTGTCTGTTTGCACTGTGTTATGTTGGACTGTTAGTGTTGCTCTTTTCTTTCTTTATTATTTTCTTCATTTGGGGTGCATTCGCGTTCCTTTCCTTTATTTAATTTTTTCGCCAGCTTATTTTGTGCTGCCCACTGCTACTCTGTGATCCATATGACGAAGATAACTGGAAATCTCCTAGTCACGTTTACGGGAAGGAAAGCCAAGGAATCAACGTGGAAAAGAAGTGCGTAGCGTTATATAGCTTGAGGTCAACCTCAAGACACTTATTATTCTAAATTTTATGGGTTGAGCTGGGCTTTGGCGCAAATAGATTATGTTTGTGTAAAATTTTACTTTAGACTTGATTTGATCTGTTAATATTGTTCCTGTCTATAACATAAATCTAGTTTAATCTATATTTAAAAAATATAAGTTTTGACGTTAGCCTGTTTAAACTTCTTTAGCATTCAATAATTAAATTAATAGTTAAAATAATTATTTTATTATTTAAAATTATTAAAATAAATAATATAATATAATTCGATATGTAAGATTATGGGCCAAATATATAAAAGAGAATCTACAACCTATTTTTTATATAGCTTTTCTTACAAAGTCTGAATCTGTTCTATTTAATTATTACTGAAACAAAAAATAATAATTAAAGGCTAAGCTGCTATTTTTCTTCTTCGCAGAATGGAAAATAGAAGCAGAAAAGAAACACAATTGGATACGACGGAAATGGTTGACTTCAATTTTATGCATCTCCTAGGCTGTAGCTGGACTTGATAGTACATTTAAAAACAAAAAAGATTAAGAATTTAATCGAAATTCATTTGAAAAATAAATATTCTTCAGAAACTGAACTATGTAATCCTTTTTGCTTTTGGCGTCTAAATATCAGAAATGGATTTTATTTAATTTTTTTGAAAAAAAGCCTTGATAACTATCTTATTGATTGACAGGCGTGTTTTATTTTATTTATTATTTTTCAAAATTGAAAAACACCAAAGCCCTCTAAAGGCCCAGGTATACATTACAGCCCAGTTGATGTTTCAATAAGCAGGCCACAACGCCATCATCAGGAATTAGTGGTAAGTGTACATAGAACAACAATATTGTACCCAAAGAAAAAAATAAAATGAAATCAATGTTTGAAGCCCATTAGGTTTTATGAAACATAACCAACCCGTTCGGCTTCTTTTCATCCAAGCTGGACTATTCTTTTCGGTCAATCATCAAAACTATATTGAAAGTCTCAAACTGTGTCTTCTTCTTCATGCAATTGGGCCTCAATTGGGCCTACAGGATATCGCCCCATTTTTTATTTTTTTAATAATTCACCCCTAAATTCTTACTTTCTCCTTTTCACATACCAAAAAGTTATTGTTATTTTTTTTAATATAAGTTATTGTTATTTTTATTTTGCTTACGTCTCCTTTCATGTTATTGTTTTGCCCCTAAATAAAGATTAAAATAATTAGGTATCATCCCTTTTTTTTAGATTATTAACAAATATTTCCACGTGAATTATTTGAAGTTTTATTTTATATGATTTATGTATTATATGTTTCAAGAGAATCTAAGTATGATTATTAAAAGACAATTAAAAGAAACACAAAAATAATAGACTTTATATGCAATCATCATTTTCATTATTATTATTATTATTATTTAAGAATTTACAAATATTACCAAATAATAGTGAACTTCAAATTTAAGGGTGTATTGGGAATAAATCTTTGGTGCAAACAGTTGTACCAAGACTCAGTGCATCCGACCAATGTGAACATCACACATCAGCCAACACACATCATAGGAGAGAGAATACCGGTTGATATGTGATGCTCTCATTAATTGGGTGCACTGAATCTTTGGTGCAACTGTTGCACTAAATATCTATTCGTGTATTGGATAGAGATTTTAAAGTATTTTAATGAATTATTTTTGGACAAAAAAATCCATTGGTATTCAATTAAAATTTTAAAGAATTAAAAAAAATCATGTGGTATTGATTAAAATTTTAAAAAATTATTTTAGAGTCCATGTAAATACGATGATATTCAATCAGTATTTTAAACAAAAGAAAAACAATCTTGTGGTATTAAAAAATCTAACGATTTTAGTTGATTTTTTATTAGTGTGAAAAACTCTCATCGCGTAGAACAAAAATCCCAAAATTTTTAGGATCAATTGCAAAAAAATTCAAACGAAATTTTATCATGAACTTTAGGTTTTTTATGCAAATTTCGAATTATTTCAATAAATAAAAAAAATTATGGGTCATATAATCATATATGCATAGCTTTGTTATTAAATGAAGAAGATCATTTTCGTCACATTAGTCAAACCCAAGAGCAGGAACGAGAAGATGCTAATGCGTGGAGGCTAGTATAAATATGTGGATAGCTACTGTTTAGTAAGATATTAAGTTACATCAAATAGTGATTTAGAAAATTATAGGGAAAAATATTTCTCCAGTAACGGGAGATAAAGTTATCTCCAGTGAGTTCAAAACGACGTCGTTTTGGGGTTATAAGATTAAAAAATTATAATGATAAAGACTAATATAACCCTAAAATATATTATAATTACACAAATACCTTGATTTCCGTCCCAAAACGACGTCGTTTTGGACTCACCGGAGATAACTTATCTCCAGTGACTGGAGAGATCCTTTACCCATATTAGGTTTTACTTTTTTTATTAATATCATTGCAGCTCTTTGTTAATTTTTTTATCGACTCTTGTAATTTTGAACATTTGTTAAAAATTCGTATTATTTTTTAAAATATTATAAATTTATATTGTCCTTTGAAAACTTATAAATTATATTAAAATACAATCTTATAAAATTTGATTGTAAAAAAAGTGTTTAAAGTCGCTATAATTTTAAATAATCTTTTGAAATTTATAAGAATTTTTATCTCAAAATAATTTTTTAAAATCCTAATTCAATACATCCTCCCCTTACATTTGATTTAACATATATTTTTTACAACTGTATTTTTTTATTTGAGTAATGATGTGGCCATTTTTTTTTTTTTGGTGAATAATGATGTGGCCATTTTAATTCAAATCATCCCATCATTTGATATAACAAGTAATTTCTTCTGCTTGGCATTGGCTTTACGGTGTTGTTAACGGTTCAATGTTTTGACACAAGCGTAAATATTCGATTTGTCTTCTCTCGAATGGGGTTCAAATATTGGACCCACTTTTTTCTTCGCTAGTTGGTTTGACAAGAGTTTAATTGAAATAAATTTTTTTCGAAAGAAAAATGATTTTTTTATTTTTTTTATATAACGGGAGCACTGAATTTGAACTTATAACCTGATTAAGCTGTGTAAATTCTTTACCACTAGATTAATCCTAATAGCTTAGAAAGGTGAAAAGGAAATTCATCATATGTGTAGAATTTGGATGATTTGTCTGCGCATTGCATGATTATTGCTATTTGCATCTTTTCAGTTTACAGATCAAGTTGATATGCTATTTTTTTTTAAATGTAATAAATTTGTTCCTTATGATTATTGCTATGGCCCCTGCAAATACAATTTTGAGATGTCGATGAAGAACAAACATGTTGAGAAATCACTTTAAGCAAACATGTTATCAATTAAAGGGGGAGGCAGAATTGAAAATTTTTTTAGTGTTCTTGAACACATTCAAACAAAAGAAAAATTACTCTCATGTGGTTAAAGAATAGCTCTCTTTTCTACTTATTTATTGGTTTTCATATTTTTTTTTTATATAAATAAATGAGTTACACCCATATTTATGTATGTGATAAGAGAAAATTACTCTACTATAACATCAGATTAATAAAGTTGTTAAAATTTCAAACAATCAAGGTTCTTTTATACTGGTCTTTATATTTTATAAGGGTTTATCATCTATCATTTAACATGACCACAAAAACTTTCCTACATACACAACATTTCGTGGGGCCCGCAGCAAAAAAAAAAAAAAAAAAACTCTGGCACGCAAAACGAATCTCTATAACATAACACAATCACTTTTCCTACAACATAACTCTTATAAAACCCATTTTATAATATCAAAAGCAGTGGCGGACCCAGAAAATTATATGAAAGGGGGCGAAAATTTAATAAATTCAACTTATAGAATTTTAAATAAAATATAATTTAACAAGTATACTAAATTGACGAATTTAACACAAATTACTTCGTTGCCATGCGTCATGTCAACAATGAAAAGTAGGAGAATCACAATCTTAAACCAAAAAACATGTACAACGGTCTCAAGAGATGCACCCATTAAATAATTTTAATAACAAATATAATCACATAACTAAAATAAATCCGAAAAGAGGAGGAAGCTCGTAGAACCCAACCTAAAACTAACATCATAAAGTTCCATAATGCCCACATCACTACAGACCCATATACTTCAGTTATCAAGCACCATAAAGCTAAACAAATAAATTTCAAAAATTATTGCAAACTATAATTATTTTATACCCATTTTTTTCTTTCACTTTCTGTTGGTTTTTGAGCATTCGAACAA